AAGAATGTATTTTGGTGAAAAAATGGGGCTCAAACAAGGGCTATATTTACACTATAGACTATAGCCCAAATATTTCAAAGCTAATGGATGGCCTAGCGCTGAGTTCTCATGGATGCATGTTTCAACGTTTGACTACCATTTACCATCTGTCAATTCCTTGCAACAACACTGTTCTTGGTTACCTCTCGTCTCTTTTTCTCCCATCTTACAAAATTTTAATTTCAATCTTTTGCAATTCTCTGCCCCAATTAAGCCATTCTCTTCCATAGGAACCTCTCAAGGGGAGCGCACCCGCAAGTGCGCGCACCACCACTACCCCGATCATAACGCGTGCTCTATGTTATTATGATGGCTAAACACGCCACCATTTTGTGGGGGCATTTCCGTTTGATGGTTCTACTTTTTATCTTTGTCTTGCATTTTGTCATGTATTCGTGTAAATCGGATGCTGAGATCTTGCTCAAATTAAAGGAGTCCATTGTGGATGACGGTGCATTGTCTAGTTGGAATGATTCAAAACCTCCATGCAATGGTGATAATGGGAATTGGGTTGGAATTTTATGTGGAAATGGGACTGTAATGGGATTGAAGCTGGAGAATATGGGGTTGAGGGGTGTGATTGATGTAGATGTCCTCAAGGAATTGAAAAATTTGAGGACTTTAAGCTTGATGAACAACAAATTTGATGGCTCGTTGCCAAATATAACTCGACTTGTTGCTCTAAAATCCATTTACTTTTCCGGCAATCAGTTTTCCGGCGTGATCCCGAATTACGTTTTCGACGGGATGTTCTCACTCAAGAAAATTCATTTGGCACGAAATAAATTTTCCGGTGAGATTCCTCAATCGTTGACCACATTGCCTAGGTTGAGTGAGTTGATGCTTCAGGATAACAAGTTTGATGGAAAAATACCTCAGTTTCAGAATGGAATATTGAAATTGTTCAATGTATCTGAAAATGAATTGATCGGTGAAATCCCTCGTAGCCTTAGAGATATGAATGCTTCCTCATTTTCAGGTACTTTCCTCAAGATATTTTGGTTTTTTAATAATTAGGATCAATAACTGTCCAAAACGTTGTATCTTAGGTGACAGACTTATACGAAGAACAGTTTGAGAGGCAGTTTTTGTCATAAATTCGCCGAGAATACTGTATACCTCACTTCTTTTTCGTCCCTTTTAAACAGGTAACAAAGATCTATGCGGAGCGCCACTCGAATCATGTGCTCCGGCACTTTCCATCGGAACAATCATAATTGTCACGATACTCGTGACTTTGGCTGTAGCGGCACTCATCGCAGTCGTCGTCATTCTCTCCCAGCGGAAGCAACTGCCGGAGCAAGAACAAGCAACAGTATCCCCTCCCGGCTACCGTAAAGCTTTCTCTACCAATCTAGACAAAGTGGAACAAGGGACGGCATCGCCAGAGCATGGTACAAACGGCAAGAAGGGCAATAACAATATGAAGCTCATATTTCTTCAAGATGACAGGGAGAAATTCAACATGAGGGATCTGCTAAAAGCCTCGGCGGAGATACTGGGCAGCGGCATATTCGGGTCGACATACAAGGCTGCGCTGAACGGCGGACAGGCGATGGTCGTGAAAAGATTCAGGCATATGAATAATGTTGAGAAAGAAGAGTTTCATGAATATATGAGAAGATTAGGGAGGTTGAATCACCAGAATGTGCTTCCTATTGTGGCTTTTTACTATAGGAAAGAGGAGAAACTATTGGTTTCCGATTACATGGAGAATATCAGCCTTGCTGTTCATCTCCATGGTAATTTGATTCTCATATTTGTACATCCACATACATTACTGCATTTTATAGAATCGTTTGGGAAATCGAAACTCTTGGAAAACTCTTAACAAATGTATTTCTGTGTTGTTGCAGTTTATAGAATAAAGAACAGAAGAATAATAATGATGTCTCTTCCTGCAGGTAACACAACTCGTGGGCGTCCATGTCCGGATTGGCCAACTCGTTTGAGTATCATCCAAGGAGTGGCCAAAGGTCTTTCATACCTCTACAATGAACTCCCAAGCCTGATGGCACCACACGGCCACCTCAAATCCTCAAACGTTCTTCTCGACAGATCCTACAACCCCTTGCTCACAGACTACGGATTGGTTCCAGTCGTGAATCAAGACCGCGCACAGGAGTACATGATTGCATACAAGTCGCCTGAGTACAAGAACAACGGCCGGATAACCAAGAAAACCGACGTGTGGAGCCTCGGGATGTTGATTCTAGAGACCATGACCGGAAGATTTCCGTCGAGTTTCTTCCAACAAGGTAGCAAAGGAAACGAAGCGGATTTGGTAAGCTGGGTTGAATCCATGGTTAAAGAAGGGAACACCGATGTTGATCGGGTGTTCGATAAGAATATGGGACGAAAGGATAAGAGTAAAGGGGAAATGACGAAACTTTTGCAGATAGGATTGAATTGTTGTGAAGAAGAAGTGGATAAGAGGTGGGATTTGAAAAAGGTAGTTGAAAGGATTGAACAAGTGAAGGAGATGGATACTGATCAAGAATATAATTCAAGAGGATTGTCTAAATGATTGATTGATTGTGAAAATAGGATAGTTTTGTAATTCATTTCTACTTAATTTGATTTTGTTTTGTTTTTTTTATTTTTATAGGATATGAAAGGCAAAATAGTTTATAGCAAATGCAACACGCATACGCATGTTTTTTGCATCAAATCTGAGATGTCTTTGTGCATTATATGTGAATTAGTAATGTACAAGAATAAGAACCCTAGATCATGTGTTTTATCAAAAGGATAATACGTCCGTAATGTGCTTGCAAATGAACATTATGTTCGATTCACATTTTTCTAAACACATATCAAATATTTAAAAGAACTCTTCAACTCAAGGATGAATTTTCCGAGTTAAATACAATCCGTATGTAATGCAATACAAGGTAACAACTAATAAAGCAACCAAAGGAAATTTAAAAAAAAAAAAAAAAAACCATTTAAGAAAGTAATGTTGAATTTAAACACCAAAAGAAAATAATTTTTACTAATAAAATAAAATTTTACACAATTTTGAATACAAACCAAAGACACTATCCCTCACTATTTATTTTATAAACTAACGGCACTTTTATTTTTCACACACCGATTCTTTTTCTCATTATTATTTCTCTTTTCTCACTCTTCATCACTCTCATGCCATCTCTTTTTGCTCTCCTTCTCTCACGCTTTCTGCACACACGCTTCATACAATGTACACACACATATATAGGAAAAATATGGCGGTGACTTCTACATAATTCCATAATGTCGGTGATGGTGGCTGCCTTCTATTTCTAGAGAATTCTTGCATAAAATCAAATTAATGCTTCCAGATTTGAAGAACCCACATAAATCTGGAATCTTCCTTCTAAATTGGTGGTTATGGAAAACATATGGAAAGATGGTGCTGATTTCTTCAATTCTCCATTTCAGCACCAACTTTTCATTTTGACTCTTTTCTTTTTCGTCAAGTTGAGCTTTGCTTCAGACTCGATCAAGTTTGAATCACTTGATCCTTTATTTGATGCATTGGCGAACCTACCAGAACCAGTTTTCTGCTATGGTCAATTATATGTAGCACTGTCAAAAGCAAAAACAAGCAGATCTATTAAAGTTCTACTCAACCGTCCAATGAAAATCATACGCACAAGTCATGTACTAAAAATGNTTCATACAACTGCACCTCTTTATAGGTATATGTTCGATTTATTGGAATTTCTTTTTTTGTCCGTGATTCCTCTGTCGACTATGTTAAATGAAATGCTTTTTTTCCAACTACAATGCAGATGTTAGATTACTCTAGAAGTTGATGAATGGAATGGAGTGTATCATTTTTGTAAGAATTCTAACTGATTAGCATTTTGAAGTTATTATTCAAAATATAAATAACATTCTACTTCAAAACATTTTTTTTTAGAGTATCTAAATCAATTTAATTTATGCAGCATATGGACATTCAAATTTATATGAAAAAAGTCAAGGAAATGTTGGTGCATAGGAAAATTATTGGAGCACACTCTTTTCAAAAATTGGTTATATGAGGCAAACCAAGTTTTCAAGTTTTCAGGTTTAAAGATAACTTGTGATGGAGACATAAGTATCACAAGTTCTTCTGCACTAAAAGAAAAAAAAAATGAGTGGATGATGATTGAGATATTTGAGAAGTTTTTGACAACAACTATTCTCTTCTTTTAAATCATATAGTGTTTAAACTGTCTAAATTAGAAATGATATATATATATCAGGGTGTTTGGTTTGCTTTATGGGTGCTGGATAACATCAATTATTGTTGTAAGCTTTGTTGATAAATCTTGTATTTAATTTTGTCTTCTATTTAGATCTATTTTCATCCAAGCAATCTATACCTACAGAAACTTATTTTGTAAGTGATATCATTTCTTATATTTAGTTGTCAAAGTTAAAACTTTTTAAGATGGAAAGTTGAAATTCACGTTGATAAACAACTAGCAAAACAATAGTGCTTAATGAAAACTAATCATAAATAAAGCATAGGGCTAGACACTTGATTTCGTGGGTTTGTACCTATCAGAACCAGTTTTCTGCCATGGTCAATTATATGTAGCACTGTCAAGAGCAAAAACAGGCAGATCTATTAAAGTTCTACTCAAACTGTCCAATAAAAATCATACGCACAACTCATGTACTAAAAATGTTGTGTACAAGGAGGTTCTTTCGTTCATACATTCATACAACTGCACCTCTTTATAGTTATATGTTCGATTTATTGGAAGACTATGCTAAATGAAATTTTTTTTTTCCAGCTACAGTGCAGATGTTAGATTATTCTAGAAGTTGATGAATGGAATGGAGTGGATCATTTTCGTAAGAATTCTAACTCTTTCATACTTTCATCTTTATTGATTTTTAGATTGATAATTGATTTTTTATGTCTACTCTACTTCTTTATTTGTGATTGTGAGTTTGAACGTACCTCAATTTCTTGTTGTCTTTGTCGATCCTCCATTAGTGTCTTCTGGTCTACGTGTCTCGCTCTAGCAAGCTCTTGTTTATTCCTTGACATTTGTACATATTTAGATTCTTTAGGATTTCATTGTTGGACTTCTGTAATCTCCTTTGACAATTTGTCTTTCGTTTCTTTTAAATCTAACAGTTCCACTCTCTGCGGTGTTTGTGTTTCAAACACTTCTTCAAATTCTGGTAGTTTCTCACTCTACGGAGTCCATCCTAAAGATTCTTCATGAAACACGATGTCCTCTTCTGAGTAATCTATCAAATCATCTTTTCCTAGATCATCTTCTCTTGAGTTATCAGTCCAATTATCTTCACAATCCATTTGCTCAGGCAAGACTATTTCTAACGATGATTCTCCTTTAAATTTGAATTTAGTTTCTTTTCTCGAGCCTGCTTTGTTGTTGCCTTGATTGCCTCAACATCCCATTCTTCTTCACTATATTAAATATTATTCCAGAAGTTTGTCTTAATTGATTGTTAAAATAGGATAGTTTTGTAATTAATTTTACTTCATTTGATTTTTTTTCTTTTATTATGGGATTTGAAAGGCGACATATTTTATTAAAAAAAAATACAAAATACGTTCATATTTTTTCTGCATCGAATCTGGGATTCTTTGTTCATTATTTGTGAATTAGTAATGAAAAAGAATTAGAACCTTAAATCATTTGTTTTTAGAAAAATAATAAGTCAAAAATGTACTTAGAATGAGCAATATGATCGACATACCTTTGCCAAACGTGGATCAAATATTGAAAAGAACTAACAACAAGAACTTAAAGGAATTAAAAAACCATAAAAGAAAAAAATATCGTCCATTGGCATGGCTTTGGAAAGGTTGAAAGGAGTTTTTGAGACTTAAAAACTACTTTTGGATTCGTTTGACTAATTTTGTTAAAATGTTTTTGATAGTTAAAAGAGCTTTTAGAATAAGTCAGTATAATGTGGTTTTCTCTAAAAGCACTTAGCCTCTATTTGGCTCCCATATTTTTAAATTATAATGGATGAAATAATATTTTTTTGAAGAATGAGTGGTTTAAAAAGAATGAAAAGTTTTCAATTTACGAATAATATTATTTTATGGAAGATTGTGTGATTGAAAATAGAAGAGAAAAAATGAAATTTAATTTAATGAGGATCAAACGTGGGCTAGTTTTCAAACAAAAATTAAGATAACTTTTTTTAAAAACTTTTCTAAAAGAATTAAAAGTAAAAGCAAAATCTATGCCAAACCGTCTTGAGTCAAAACACGAGCGAAGTATCAATAGCAATTTTACGCATGAAATATAGTTTACATGTGACCTATGGAAACTTTCAAGTTGCGTTTTTTATCTTTTCGAAACTTGAAACTCTTCGAAAGCTTTTAAATAGTTACCTAATATTTTATATTTTTGGTAAAATTCAAAAATCTTGAGGAAACTTCACGAAAAAAAAAAAATATTAGAAAATTTGGGTTAAGATTTGAACATTATTATGGACATTTGTAGGTCTCAACTAAGAAGTAACTTAATATTGGGATTCAACAAACGATTTATAGAATTTCAAACTTTAGTTGTTATAATATAATATAATTGATTAGTAATTAGTTTTTTTTTTTTTTTTAGATTGTGTTAAATAGGTTTTTTTATAATTACATATTAAATTTAAAAGAATAATTATAAATTTTGCACCACGATTCCAGTGTTTAGTCCTTTTTGTCTTTTTTTTTTTTTTTTTCCAAAAAATATTGTTTGCAAATGTCGCGTCATTTTTTTTCGTCGTTTCTATTTCTGTGAAACCTAAGTTCCATATACAATGAATAATGGATTGGACCATAACTAAATTTTATAAGTTCAAGTTCGATGCGATCCGGTTCTTTTGTACTTTCAAAAGAAAATGTGTAGTGTAAACTGTCTCGTTTCAATTATTTAGATTTTTTTTCGCGCGGGTTCGTCGCTAATAATTAAAAAGGGACCAGACGATTGTGTAAGGGACAAACATCTTGAAACAAAGTCCCAAAAAAGGGTGTTCTTTATTGGCGATGACCTTACAATCGGAAAGTAAAAACAGAATGCCTCCAAAGGACGCAAGCACACGAGTTACTGAAAGAAGTGTTTAAATCTAAACTAAGAAAATTAAAATTACATGTTCTCTGTTCGAGAGTTTTTTGATTCGGGGTCTTTTGCTCTATGTCTTTTCTTCCTTTTATATTCCCTGGATGATCTCTTTGTAATCAACCGCCTAAAAACTGCTTGATCGTTCTATAACTGCCCACTTTCCTCGTAATGGCCAACTTGTCATGGAACTACCTTTTCTAATTCCTGCCATTACTCTTTGTCGTTCAACCGTCTTCAATTGAATTCCTTGAATTGTGGAACGTGATAGGGCTGCTTTAATAACTGCTTTGATAACTGCGCTTCTTGATAACCACAACACTTCACGTTTGCTAAAATCTTGGGCGACTTGAAGGTTTGGGCGAGAATAGAGTAGCACCTCTGGGCGACTGCATGGCACTCCATTCGCTCAGATCCTGGGCGACTTGCAAGTTTGGGCGATGATGTTACCGCGTTCACGGGCCTCCCTATTTGGGCCTTCATCCTAAATTGTCTGATTGGGCTTCGTTCTTTAGGCTATCTGATTTGGGGATCCTCCAATTGGGTTTCATTCCTTGGGCCGTTCGATTTGGGTTGAATTTTTATGTGTCAACAA